TGCAAATATAAATAAAGGCGAAAATTAAATTTCGTTACAAGCTAAAAACCCTGAAAGACAAAAGTACCTAATTCTAAAACAAATGAAGAATTTTTACAACGGTGACAATCCGATCTAATTTTCATTATTCCAAGGGAAAACTTAATGAAAAGTAACGGCTGGTTTCATAATAAATTCTGTAACAGGTTCTGGTGCTATAAAAATTTCCATTCTTAACTAACCCTTATTCTTACGAATCCTTGGGAGCGCTAATGTTGTTACTCATCAGAAATACCCAACAGCAAATTACACCCTAATAACTACACTCGCGAGCAAAAGTATGGAATCACTTACATGAAGTTGTTTCCACGCGATCTTGTGTACTAACGAATTTGTTAGTAACAAAAAATGTAGCACCGNTGCTGGTTCGCTAAAACATTGGCTTATGGGGGTGGCTTGCTCGACTTCCCATCGAGATGTGTAGGAGCAAATTGAAAGCGTGCTTATCGGTGACCTGCCGTCAGTTTCAAGCCTGTGGCAGGCCTTTTTGGAGTCAAATTATATTGTTTATATCTTAGACAAACTGTCCACTTGCTAACAGCTATCCTACGAACATTTCTGAGCTCTTGCTGGACGTCGATACCAGTCAAATGACGATTTCGTAGAGAAGTTGACATGAAAAAACGGTTTTCCCTCTGCGATGTGCACCGGCAATGTTCAGAACTTGGTCTCAGGATAAAGCCACCGGTATCCCGAAAGCGTCTTCAAACTTTCGAAACCCAGGACTGGCTTATGTGGAGCTGACGTGCGACAGCCCGCTGGCTGAGCCCTTCTTGCAATAGTGCAACGATTTGTGCTGCTTCTGAAGGTGTAGAATCCCAGGTAAAGTGTCAAAAGAAGCGAAGATGTGTATGGATTAACGTGTGAAAGCAAAAATCCGAAAACACTTGCTTTTATGGGGGGTAAATAGGCCGCAACTCGCGACGTATCAAACAGTTGATAAATGTCTTTTTTGTTACTTCTTCACATCAGCCGGGATATCTTTTTAAATACTGGTGTGATTTAAATGAATTTGGTATCAATTTAAAGTTAAAAGTTTAATTTTTAAAATGGTGCTACTTTTTTTGTTACTAACAAATTGATTAGTACACAAGATCGCGTGGAAACAACTTCATGTAAGTGATTCCATATTTTTGCTCGCAAGTGTATAATTTCGCCTGCTAATGTAGATAAGTAACGTGTTTGTAAATTTAGCAACACACGCAAGTTCACGCGACGAGTAACGCGAGACGTTACGGTGGGAACCAATTAGTTATGTCAACTTTCCCTCTTTTCTTTATAATTTAGTTATTTTAACGCTCGACGTAGGTACAATTATTCTGTCTTCACGAACCCTGCCTTTTAGAACTTAAAGGATTTGCCACAGTGGATGCGTTCTACGGTCTGGTTAAAGTGAACGCAGCACGCAACATGTATGAACAACATTGAATTTGTCGGTCTCTTTAAATTTTGTATTGATGCGATCTCGCCGTGTGCGGTCGTGCAAAGAACGCAAACCACACCGTTGTCAGATGATGGTCTGGTTACGACCGCTGACAGATTTTTTTCCCGGATCGCTGACCGATTGCTTTGACCGACAATGTAGTTCTTAGGATGCGGGCTGCGTTCACTATGTGACCGTAGAACGCATCCAGTGTGGCAAATCCTTAACGATCACAAAATGAAAATTGGCGCAATCATAAACAATTGCTTGATTTTATCAATTTCAAAAACCCGTTAACAATTTCTCAGTAAACCCTTCGCAAGGCGAAAACAATTGTTCCTACACAATTTTCGTCGGAACTATTCGACTTCGTGCTAATTATTGCTATTAATTTCTCGCAGGCGTTATTATCTTCGTTAGCGAAATATTTATAGGAAAATTCATTGTAATAAACGTTATTAGATTGCCAAAACTTAAACTTAAGATTAAACAAAAATGTGTAATTTTGATATAATTGTTGTTACTGAGACTTGGCTTAATAATAATATTTTAAGTTCCGAGTTGTTCGATGACAGATACACTGTATTTAGACGAGATAGGAAGCCTACTGGTACTCAAACAGATTGTATGGGGGGAGGTGTACTAATTGCAGTGTCTAACAAATTTCAGGCTAGATCAGTTAATTGTTGGAACAGTACATGTGAGGATCTGTGGGTGATCATAGATACTGACATTGCTGGCACAGCAAAACGTATTGCCATCTGCGCAGTATACCTTCCCTCGCCTGTGGGCCATAGATTGTTAGATACTTTTTTAAACAACTGCAGTTCAGTGTTGGAAGGTTTTGATGGACATACCTGTATTCTAGGTGATTTCAATTTACGAAACATCAATTGGAAACTTGTCAATGGTTCCGATGTAAATTATCAGGCACCTGTTCTAGGTCAAAGTTTATTAGATTTTGCGTCTCAAAATAATTTAAAACAGTGTAATTTAGTTACAAATTTTCAAGATAAAATATTGGATCTGCTGCTCACCGACATGGTTAATTGTAGTGTGAATGAGTCACTTGATAATTTATGTAAAATAGACCGTTATCATCCTGCACTTCAGGTTGATTTTTGTTTCGATGAGGTTTCTCAACTTCAATACAATAGCAGCTTCGCCACACTTAATTATCAGCAAGCCGATTATCGTTTAATCAATGACTATCTCTCTAAGGTTAATTGGGACGAGCAATTTTCACAATTTAATGACATTAATCAGTTGGTTGTTCATTTTTATAGCATAATCAGGGACGCCATAACACAATTTGTGCCTCAAAAAAGAAAGACCAACAAGTGGAAATATCCACCATGGTTTAACCAATGCTTAATTAGTAGACTTCGTGAAAAGGGCGTAATTATGAAAAGATTTAAAAAATATCGTAACCCAATGGATAGAATTGAATTAAGTATTTTGTCTAAAAGATGTCAAAAACTTGCCACAGAATGTTATAACAATTATATTAATAACATTGAAGAAAGGATTTCTAAAAGTACTAAAGCTTTCTGGTCTTTTGTTAAAAGCAAGCGTGGCGGCTGCAGTTCCTACCCCACCACTATGACGGACGGGTCTGCGACTGTAAGTGATGGACCAAGTATATGTAATCTCTTTGCAGGTCGTTTTGCCGAAGTTTATTGTAAGGATACAACGTCGCCTAACTCACCATATCCGAAGAAGCCTGCCTATAACAATCTGTCCTTCAGCAGAATTCACATTGACCCTGAGGCTGTAACTCGTGTTTTAAAATCCCTTAACTTAGANGAGTAGTGTTCTAGCATTTTTTTCAATTTTGCCTACATTTAGGTTTTCTGTGCCCGTATCGAACCTTTTCTGTAACTCTTTTTTCTTTTTAATTTATAATTGTCTACCGGTCTAGTTTCAATCAGTAAATTTATAATTGATGTTACTAATATATTGCATGCGGTGTTTACCTTAAATTAATTGTGCATTAAGTTATTACCACTATGGCTGTATGTATACTGTGTAAGCATCAATGTAACAATTTCTGGTAAACCAAATAAAATAAAATAAAAAAATAAAAAAAGCAAAAACATTTTATTGAGTAAGTTTTCTTATTCCCAAACATTTAGCAAGTAGAAGTAAATATTCATGTTAAAATTAAAATAAAGTATCGATGAACCACACCTACACCTCCCAACTACTAATTATCTACTGTTTTAACATTAACACATTGCTGCATTGTGATAATGCAATCTACTAACCGCAAAATGTTACACTTAAACGATCAATTTACATTAAAATTCCTCGTTTAATTCGAAACACATTACAATCCGTTTAGTGATGCTCAAATTGAATGTTCAAAATGTATCAACCTTGCGTCACTGCTATTAGGTCTAAAATTGAGATAATATTTTCTATCTGATTGCACAGTTACTTAACCACTTGGTCACACCTCGTTGTCTAAATCGGGCCGCTCTTAAACAAAAGAATCAGGTGCCGTTGCTTATTTCATTATTAACTTAAGTAACAGTTTACGCCTGCAATAAAATGTTTACGATGACAAGACGTAAAAGTGTCATTACGGTTGCACTCGCGTTTGAAGACATTTCATGACTTGGCCGTAAAACCTGTAGTAATTTCTCATATTAATCTAAGTGTGTTATTAGGTGTTATATTTGGCAGAGTAATATTTGAATCTGCGAAGTGAATTCTGAATTAATTATTTTAATTTATTAATGGATAATGAGTTTAGAAAACAAAGTATGAAAACTTAAATAACAATATGATTTAAAAGTAATAAAAGCAGTGATTAACATTGTCATTTAAAATTATTAATAAATTGTATACTTACCTACTCAATTTAAAAATATCATCACCGTTAATGATATTTTGGCGAGCCAACCAATTTAAGCAGTTAAGGTTTTTTAAATGCGACATTAACGCGCAAAGCTATAAGCTAATATTAGTTTATTAACTTGTTTGAAAACATCTTCTTTAATTTATGTCACTAAGAAAACAACAAAATATTTAAGAATAAAATGCGCAACAAACAAAAAAATCTCCATCAAGGTATAGATTAACATCTTTTTTAATTAACAATTTTTCAATAGAAATGTTGATCTTCCCTCCGATCGCGCTAGTATTGTCGTATTGTGTCCTGCGTCGGCGCTTGAATGGTTAACCGCCATTCGTATTCACTCAAAAGATTCATGAGTGTTTTCAAAAGATAAATGAGTGTTTGTTTTGGGCAAAGACACGCGATATCATTGTTTGCTTGACGGGGCTTTAGAAGGCGCTTTTTTGTTAGACGTCATACCTTACAAAAGGTAATAAGTTAAAAAATGCCTTTTGGAATGCGAGAATGAGGTTTTAGCTCGTAAAATAAGATAAAAATGAATTTGACAATAGCGCAAAATTCAATTAGTTGTAGAAACTCAGGTTAAAAAACTTACTTATGCCAAAAGAAAATTATAGAAAACCTAAAGAGAAAGTATGTACCTAATTTTAAATTTATTTATTTTTCTCTTTTCAGTTCACGTCTTACGAGAGGCGGAATTGCCTATGGAGGTGGCTCAAGCCATGGGCCCTGACGTCCAGTTTGTGCTCAAGTACATCGACACAGGTATGTTTCTTGTTACCTATCATGTTACTCAAAAGTTTTGTATTCAAAGTACACTAATTGTACTGTATAAGTTATACAACGCTGCACATTATAATATGCACTATACCACACTGAAGTCACTAATGGTGGAACGCAACAACTATCAAGATTTTTCATGTAGGTATATTTTATGTCCTTTAGCATGGCATCGATGCACAGTGCACACTGAGACTCAAATTCATTGCTACTTTTCTGAATTACAAGCAATGAAAATGCGAAGCTCTGGTTGGCTAAAACGTGCTTCTAAACGGAAAGGATTCCAAATATAGAAACGACTATATTTGGAATCCTTTCCGTTTCTATTTATTAAATCATGTTTTAATTTAGATTAAAGCTTATCCTAACAAGGAATGCGGATTTTTAAACGTAAATATCCGCGTCAAATAAGGAAAAATCTTTCGTTTTTCCCATCTTACATCGCCTCTGGCGTTGTATGTATAACTTTCTAGCTGGCAGAGTGGCCATTAAGAGGCTGCGCCAACGTAGACACCTTTGTGTCTTGTGTCGCATACAAGTCATCAGAGGATATTTTATTTTTCAACATTAAATCAGCCACTTACCGCGTTGACGTAGACACTTTTTGTGTCCAGTTTCTTTCACTTGACACGCACGTCCCCTGAAAATGTTCTGTGTCGGTAATATGAACTTAAAGTCGTCAGTAGATGACACAAACAACATTCACAAATTTTCCTTAGCCCGGTTTCCACGAAAACGGAGAAGAAAGGAAATGTGTTTAAATAACCAATCAGATTTCGTTATTTCCACATCCCCCCTCTCTGCTTAGTTTTTGTTAGTTTAATTCTGCAAGTAGGCTTTACAAATGCACTTTTACACGTCCCAGGATTAATCCTACCACTACTGTGGGGCTATAAATAGGTCAGTGCTAAGAAGAAGCAGCACAATAAACTCGGTCACTATTGTCAGCCATGATTGGTTATACAAACGCATCTTATCTATTTCCGTTTGGTGAAAAGCTGCGCATAAGATAGCCGCTACCGGACACATCGATTCGGTTCCCTGTGATGGTGTGCCGTGTGGAATAGACAGTGTCTTCGTTTGCGCTGTCTTTAAAAGAAACAACGTGGGCGTTGATGAACACCGACTGTATCAATAGGGCTCTGAGTTGCGGCCGCCATCGTTATTTCTTGTTTGAAGTCCTTTATTGGGTTGCTGTGTGTTTGGATACTGAAACTGAAGTGTCAATTGAGATTGAGACGTATTTTGATTAAACTAGGTTCCTTTTGACAATTGTATATTCCGGAACAGCTTTTGTCGCGTTGATTTTGGTTAAATGTATCTCTAATTATTTATTAGTGATAAAGTAGATATAAAATCTTGTATAACCCAGTGAAGTTGCATAGCTTTTACGCTGATAAATATACATTTATTCGCACCCCACATCATCATCATCATCATTTAATTTTCAGCCACAAGACGTCCACTGCTGAACATAGGCCTCCCCCAATGACTTCCACATCGCACCCCACAAGGATATCTATTTTTCTTTCTCTTTTAAATAGTTTGATAGTAAGTATATACAGGGTGGAATTTTCTAATGCCACCTGGAGGGAAACTACTCTTAATATTGTAGATAGAATTTTTTTCTCAAAGAAAACATTCCTTTATTTTTAAAAAGAAATAGAACTGCATTCAAAGATTTCAAAAAATTTGCTTGCCACACCCGGGAATCGAACCAATTAAAATCTGTTACAAATTACACCCTGTATTTTTATTGCATCGATCGTTAGGGTCAAGTATAAGGATAAAATCTCTCTAACAAACTTGATAAATCAAATGAAAGGAAATCCATAAAATCTTAAATTATTTTAATTATGTACAGAAAATTGTATGGTATGGAAGTGAATTTTCGATTTTTTTTCGAAAATCTATGAATGCAGTTTTCTTTCTTTTCAAAAATAAAGGAATGTTTCCTTTCAGTAAAATTTTCTATCTGCAGTATTAAGAGTACTTTCCCTCCAGGTGGCATTACAAAATTCCACCCTGTATACTTATATGGCTTTAAGAAAACTATTTATCTCTCAAAATTACAGTAATATTTTATTTTATCTTATTTTACCTATTTACAAAACAACTCATTCGTATCGGACCCTCAAGATTGATCTTCAGTTATACACAGCAAAAACTTCGTCGAACCAATTTGGTCGGGCGAGCGATATCAATATAATTAGGGAGCCATCACGGGTCGAGGTTCGATTTCCGTCCACGTTTGTTTGCTGATCGATTGACGGAGTGAGATTAATGTGATCCTCCAAATTGGAAGTATTAGGCAGTTTAGGGGCCGTTTTTGGGACCTCCTTATTTAACATCTCTAAGAAAACTGCAAAGGACAGTATATCTGCCTGCTGATGTATTTTTCGAACACTTTAATCAGGGCCTCTTCAAGGTGAGAGTGAACAGGCATTTACTGGGCTGGTTTGTACCACCTTAGACTGCATCTTAACGTCAGGTCATCAGGTGTGATTGCAGTCAAATACTTGCCTTTTTCAGCATTAAAAAAACTCGCTGAAAGATTTTGTCCCCTAGTTACTTATATTAGGGATACAGGGGTTTCAATTATATCTAATTTGTGTATTTCAGAAGAAATTCTTATTAATTTTGTCTATAAAATATCGCACATGCTAGTGTAATTTACAAAGATATCTATTGGTTATTGTCTGCTTGGCAAAAAAAATGTATTGGATAGAATCAGTGCTTCGTTACTTGAAAGTCCTGCTGCCTACTTGAAATACAATTAATGTCCCCACTGATCCTACCTACTTAGTCTTTCCATCTAAAGATTCAACAGTATTATTAGTTCCCGAGTTGTAGCGAGATCGGCTACAATCTTAAGGTCCTAATCTGGAAACTAATGTCGAGTTCTACTCTTTTCGCCTCTCTGGATTGCTGTCATGAGTATGAGTGATAGTAAACGTATGCTTCAAATAATAACTGAGTTTCTTGTGCTGTATTTTTTCAGCACTGGCCCATTATTGCCCCAAAGCAGCTGTAAAAGAGCTTATTAGAAGTGTATCATAGATTAACATTGTCTAGTTCAGACATCAGTGTAGTCGTTTAGAGTTTAGACGCCCCAAGTCCCTTTTGAGACAGTCGGTTTTTTGGAAGTGTAAAACTTTATCTATTTACTTCGAAAACGTTTTGCAAAGTAGACCCCCGGAATCTAATTACCGTATTTATTCATGGAACGCCGATAGGGCTGGGACAATGAATCCGACTCGATTTATGTTTGTCGCGGAGATGAATTCTAAGGACCGCTTGCGGATCCTAAATGAATGTTAAGTTAAATAAATTATTTCGCTAAAGATCTGCTGGGCAGAGATTTTATTGATTTAAAAGGGCTTTTGGAAGTTGCGAGGAATTTTGGAACGATTTAGCCCGTTTAGCAGTCTTTACCGTTTGAGTTAGGTGACGTCATGTTTTGTTGTATACTATGTTGTTTATTTAGGTTAATAATGAATAATCTAAGTGTGTTTTATATTAATTAAATAAGATAATGGTTCCGTTAGGTTGTTACTTACTTTAGTGCAAAATTATTAGTGCAGCAATGCGTTTGTTTGAAGAGTTCTTATTTTGATACTAAATACTTACTTACTCATAATAAGAACTAAGTAATAGTAGATTAAATCCATTAAATCCGGCAGTATTAAGATCGACATCTAGAAGATCAGGTAGCTTTTTTGAAAACCTGAAATCATTATTCTGCCATAATACCTACCTGATTTAATTCCGAGCCTACTGGGAAACATTGAACGTAGAACGTAGAATACCACGGACACGCGTATTCTTTTAAACTTTAAATTCAAAACTGTCTCCTAAGCGTTAAGTGGAGATAAAGCTTTCTTTAATTTATTTCCAACCGTTACAATTAAAAGAATACTTAATACTTTTTACTTAAGTTTTATCGCTTTAATTTACGATTAAGAACACTTTGGGAGGCGATAACTTATTGAAACAAATTATTCCTATTTCTTACTCATTTTAACGTACTCGTAAACACTAGATTTATCTCCGTTCATTAAAATACATAATGAACAGCCATCCAAATCAAAAGTGCATTCGTTTCTTATAACTTAAAATAAGCCATTGCATTAAATTTTATATTTTCCACCGTAAATCTGATATAAGGCTGCGTGTTTATGGGCGCATAAAAATTCAAAGTTTAGATCTCGACACTTTAATCCGGCCTCGGACATTTAAATATCGTTTATAAATAACCTCGATCGCATACCAGCGGGGCCTGCCTATGATAAAATAGTGCCAGAGAAAATACTACAGCCTTTGATACTACGTTATCATTAGGTCGTAATCAAGAAAGCACGCACACTGGTGAAAAAATCAGTGTCGGCACGCACACACATGCGCGCGATTCACCTGTTGCTATGGATGTGTTGAGAGGTTGCGCGGGCGCAGGTTGGTTGTAGGCTCCCACTCCGTGGCATGGCACGTTTGTGCCCCGTCTCTGTCTCGCGCGTAGGAAACGACAGAGGCAGGTAGCGGTGTTATTATCGGTAAACCAGTCGCGCTGCTTTACCGACCGCCAACTGGATCAACGGTTTTTCACGACTAGCGGATACTTAGTTTTAACTTAACAACGCCGGATAGCGACTGTTCAAAATTTAACGCACGGTTTTATCTCTAAATTTTGTTGGAAACACGCTATATTTTGAATCCGTGTGACGTTGTGTTGTGTTTGTGGTGGGTTTGATCGTTATTACGTGTGGATTGAGCTAGTCAGGCTGTATACAACTGGTTCAAGTCCGTGCAGTGAGGTGGTTGTGTCAGTGCGAAGTTGAAGTTCCAATTTGTGATAAAAAGGTTCAACTTCGGTTTGTTCAGTGCATGTGAGTGGATTGGATTAAGGATTGGCCGAATTCAAAGTGAAAAAGGGTATGTAACGCAGCTTTCTATGATAATAATGTTAACGGTACTGAGAAAACCCGTCT